TAAATAGGCACGGAGGAAGTATATATAAAAGCCGGAATTTATCTATAATCAAAGTATTGGTACTTTTCTTCATTTATGAAAATTTCAGGAAATCTCATGTCATTTGATTCAAATTCTTTGATTTCCAAAAATTTGTCCCGCATGTGGAGGCATAAAAAAGAAATTTTTTTGGCCTGAGAAGCATAAAAAATTAATAGTACTACAGGACGCATGAGGCAAGATTTGCTAGGAATAAACATGGTATTGAAACCCAGTTCGAGTTGGTTAGTTAGACCTGTGAATCGGTCCTTTAATTTGTCAAGTTCAGTTTATTTTTTATAATGAAATTGCACTCTTCAATAAACCTTTGTTTTTATTCAATCATAAGATAATATTAGAAATAAACAAGACCAATTCAATAATTCAGAAAATCCCATTAACTATTCACAAAAAATTAGTATTTTTTATATTTTGAATAAGCTTTTGTTGTTATTCATTAATCACAAGATAGCTTTTAAAAATTAACAAATGTAAGATTTAACAATTCACAAGTTTCCATTCATAACAAAACGTTCTTAATAAAATTGTTGCCTAGGACTATGAACTCCAGCGGGTGAGGCTTTTCTGTATAGATCTGAAGAATCCACCCTACTTTTGATCGAGAAAGGCATTACTTAGTTTCCTTTGTTGAGTTTTAATTAGCGTTGTTTTCGTTTCCTATGTTTGTGTATATATATAAAGAATGAAGTATTAAGATATCTACTTTCTCACATAGACTAGACAAAATAAGACAGAATAATGGAAGGCATATATTTGAATTTTTTATTTTTAATGTAAAATTATTCTCTTAAAGTTTTCATTTAAAAGACAAATCTATTACATGTTAAGAGATTTCTTGAAAGCAGCGAAGCCTCTTAACATAACATAGTTTAATCATGATATTTATAGAATATTAAAAAATGCTACAATTAATATAAAGAAAAAATAATTTATATATCAGTATAACAATGAATGTCAACTTATAAAAATGCACATATGATAAAAATTATAATAACTCTTACGATTTACAAATGATAAACAGTCCCACTGATTCATTAAATTACATGTAATACAAATGAAAATGTGTTTAATAAAATATGAAACCGAGAGAAAGTAACAACCATTGCCTTTCTGAAGTACAGACCAAATTGACTGAGAACCAAGCAAAATGGTACCAACAAGAGTTGATTTAGTTAATAAGGAATTGACTTAATAGCTCACAAGATCGTGAGTTTGAATATCACTACTAATATAAAGACTTTGTTGGAGGATGTTCTGTGAGAATTTATTTGTAAGTGCTCTCTAAATTGAAGGCACATGTCTTTGTTGAAGTGGTACAATTATCAATTTAGTTTGATAACCAAAACTCAAATAACCAACCCGAATAAACCAAATTTAATTTTAGTGTGATTCAATTATCAATTTTACTTCTCTTTACTGTACGTATCAAATATTTCTCCATGTGCATGAGTTTCAATGGCAAAATATTGAACATCAAACCAGTCATTAAATTGGTTGAAGTGATACTTCAAGAGTCCGTGATTTAATCTTGATCTAATCTACGTCAATCCAATTATGATTAAATAATATAATGTAACTAAAATATATAAAATAGTATTTACACATAATCCTAAAAATCATTTAAATAAAACATTAATCCATATGTGTAAATATAACATTCATATATAAACCACATATAATACAACAAAACAGAATTGCTAAATCACAAATATGGCATATTGTTTTTTTTTTTTAAAACTCAAAACAATATCATTTTATGCTCTGCAGAGATGAAAAGAAAATATAAAATTTAACCTGGTCAGTTAATCTAAAATTCCTTATTGAATCGGTTAGATGAACATATTATTGGTCTCATTAGTTAACTCGGGTTGAATTTTATTATGATGCCCACTACTCTAGTCATAGCCATATTAAATTCAAAGCTTCATGTAGAGCAATTAGACCTTGAAAGATTATAATATGATGAGCATCAAAATTTGTGAATAATTAAGCAACAAGAACTGCTTTGTAAAGTACGTACCAACATGTGTCTGTCTTAATTAACCCTGCGAACGACGTGTCCGATGACCATCATATATAATAATATATGCATGTTTGCAAGATCCATGCATCAGACGTAACTCCAACTTGCATTATTATTTAGTTAAATAAAACCATTTGACATAATTAATTTTGCAGCATGTATGCATATATGGAAGCGGCTTTCCTTTTCTACCCTTACCGTCTCCTCTACCTACCCAAAACTATGCTGTTTTGGGTGTTAAAATTGAAGCCTGACAAATTTTTTTCCTCTTTTGGTTCAAATCAAAATCCTTTATTTTGAAGTATTTTATAGTAATATTTAATATTTTAAAATAATTTTTAGTACACCTAACACCTAAAAATATATTTTGGTAGCTGCATTATGAACTATTTTTTTCAGTAGTAGTCAGTATCAAAAACTAATTTTTAGTGTATACAGTATCCTACATTATTTTCTTATAATAACACCCAATATCCTAAAATTAGTTTAGAATACTGTGTGCTATTGAAAAAACATTGCATGTCCAACTTGCTAGATACCTGGTGCTACTAGAAAGTTATTTTAAAGTATTTCTCTAGTCCTAAATATAAGTTTCATTTTATAGTATAATTTATACTACAAAATAGGTCTTATATTTAAGACCGGAAGAGTATTAAATGTAATAAAAATTATTCCAGTAAAAATACTTCAAAGTAATAGATATTGATTTAAACAAAAAGGTAGTCAACCTCTATTTTTAAGATACTAAATGCTATTGAAAAAATAGTTCATAAAGCAGCTTGCTAGATATTAGGCACTATTGAAAAATATTTTTAAGTGTTAGGAGTGTTAAAAATTATTTTAAGATAGTGAATGTTATTAAAAAATAAAAAAAATGACCCCCTTTATTTTTAGAGAGAATTACAATTAAATCTCACAGAAGAGAAATAATTACCAAAAGATCTCAATAACAATATCAACAGCTTATAATGACAAGTCTTATAGTGCGAATGACAACCTCAGAACTTATTTTTTAATTATTTTTTTATTTAGGACCTCACTGTAATTCTCTTTTATTTTTTCATTAGGATGATATAGTTTTGGACTGACAAGGAGAAGTGTACGGTAAAAATAGGGGTAGAGGGGCAAAGCCGCTTTCAATACATAAGCACCAGAATACAAGCAGCACAACTCTGTTCGTTGCATTATTTGTTGCCACGCAGCTTCCTAAGTTGTCCATTTTATATTATTTACTTTGCAATGTGACGACAAGTACAGTTTAATAAATAACTTATCAGTGGGTCCCATGCCCACAACGAATCCTCGTGTTCCCAATTTCCAGCTGGAGTCTTCTGGTACATGAATTAATTGTTAAATATTAACAGTATTCGCACTGAGGACAATAAAAAAACAAAACAAAACAAAACAAAATTTGGTAGCAACTTGTAACAATTTATAGAAATGGTTTGTTAAAAACCAGTCGCACAATTGTAAAACTGCTTTGGGAATTCGTATTATCGTGAGACAATCTTCCTAAAAATGTGTGTGTTTTACTGTTAATCGTACCAAACAGTTTGTGTTTGTGATTTTTTGGGTTTCAGGAACAAAAAGCTTTGTACTTTTGATTTGTCCCACTGGTGCCGTGGTTAGGCAAGCTTATTTTGTTTTCAGATCTTGGGAATCTCGCATACACAAGTTTGATGTCTTTTTGACATAACAACTTTCTCAAATAATTAAGCATTTAATGATGCTTTAAGGACAAAAAATTCAAAACCAACCAGTAGATCAGCTCATGGAAAGCTTTGTTAACTTAATAATTGGTCTTGAGTTTAAATCTTAGCATGAATGTAATTTTGTTAACAAGTGGTATCGAGTTTGAACTACATAAATATACAGTTGTCTTAAATGCATGTTTAGGAAATTTTTTCATTTGTAACCCAATCCGAATTAGTCAAGATCTGATGTGATTATTAGCAGTAGATGGCAAGTGGTTTGATATCTTAAAAAAAATAAGACATTGATTTGATGACATTTGTATTCTTAAAACAATGATTTGATGTCATTTTTATTCTTAAAACAATTTTTAAAAATATCAATCATCCTAAAATACGTAGATAATTATTAAAATATCTTAATGACAATTGAGTAATATATAATGACAAGTTTTAAAATAGAAAATAAAAATTCTTACTTGTTATTAGGATTTTTTATGATTATATTCTTTTTTTGGAACCCCTTAATAATTCTCCCAAGTACAGATTAAAGATCCTCAAATATTAAAGTTGTTGAAATTTCGTTAGTGGGCTAATAAACATTGATATTAACTACTAATTTAAAGAATAGGGTCTAGTTTGACTTATAAAAAACTTCATTAAAATACCACTTGAAAATTTTAAACTAGCTGAAACTATTTTTTTTTTAATTTTGGAAAACGTTTTTTCTTACTATCTAAGAACTAGTTGACTAATTTAAAGAGATTAAGAAAATAAGTTGAGTTAGTTATTTGTAATATATAGGTATTGTCTTTCTTAAAATATCCTTGCTAATCAATTATATTGGCTAAAACTACCATTATTAAAAAGACTTTCTTGTGAAAAAATACATAAATATGAGAGAAAAAGTGATTGAGATTTTATATTTAGGAGTAAAATAAAAGTTAAACAAGATCTTATATTAAAGACTTAAGGTAATATTAAGTTTACTGATACAAATTTTAATATTATAGAAAAATAAAATAAAGTCGTATAAAAAATTTACTGCTTCTGTAAAACAAGGACTAATCAAATCTTAGCGATTTTTGGTCTTCTAAATAATTAGACTTTCCTGCGTGAGAATTATGGGTCCTTTTCCCTAATTTTCCCTAAAAAAAATAAATAAAACCCACCACGTATTTTTATATACTCCATTGCTCTGTTTTTATGGGTCCGATAGGCACGAGAAAACTGTCCAGAGGCTCTCTCTCTCTCTCTCTCTCTCTCGCATATTGGGTTCTTGCTCTCAACGCCAGATTAGATTCTCTTTCCTCTCGTTCTTCCTTCTTGTCAACTGTGTGTTCATGTGGTTGGCTTCATACAATCTCAAGCTGGGTGCTGTTTCAATCGTTGAGGTCTTCTTTCATCGTTCGATACAGTGCTGTGGTGTGTCTGCGTATACAGAGCTTCAAATTTTTTCTTCATATATGTGATGTTGTTGGGGGTATGTTCCAAGATCTTCCTCCTCTTATGCTTTTAGAATACTGGATTTTTATTTTTTATTTTTTATGTAGTAGAACGTTGCTTTTTCCTCTTTGCTCTGTTATGCGTATGGACAGGAAAGTCTCATTGGTGTTAGATTTGAGCTTTATCAAGTTTTGGCGACTAAATAACTTTGAATTGTAAGGCTGTAATTTTAAGAGGAACATGTTTTAGAACTTGCCAAATTAAATGCACACTAGTGTTCGGCAAAATGTTTGAAAGGAAAATTTAAGGCAAAATATTGGTACTGAAGGGAATAGTGAAACTTTTGTGAAACTACTATGATGCTTGAATGTTATCTGGTTGTTAAACCGCGCAGCATGACGTTTATTTATAGGTTAGAAGTTGTTAAGAAATTTAATTTATGCAGCTTTGTGACTTAACAAGGATCTTTAAAGTTGCTTGATTAGCAATATGAGATAATAATGATTGTTTTATGACTTGATTTTTATAATGCACACCCAAAATGTTTGGAAAATTGTGTGTAAAATTGTCTGAGTTAATTTTGTGGATTGCATGTGAAGTGTTTGATTAAATGCCAGAGAAGAAAATCTTATGGAATTGATAATGAAATTTGTAGATGACAACAAGGATCTTTAAAGTTGCTTGATTAGCAATATGAGAATAAATGATTGTTTTATGACTTGATTTTTATAATGCACACCCACACGAGGTGTTTGAAAAATTGTGTGTAAAAGAGGAAATTGGGTTAAATAAGATTGTCTGAGTTAATTTTGTGGATTGCATGTGAAGTGTTTGATTAAATGCCAGAGAGAAAATCTTATGAATTGATAATGAAATTTGTAGATGACAAGTTGAGCAAATTATTAGATGAGAGTCAATTAGTGTTTTAATTGAAATTTGATTAAAATATTGAATATGAAAGGTATTTAAAATTCAATTCAATGACATTATAAACAACACTGTTGGGAAACTCCAATGGTTAGGTTTGTTTATTCTCATGTTAATTTTGGGAAATATGTGGTGAGTGATTGTGCTTGCGAAGTTGTGTCGAAGAATTCTAAAATGGTTTAAAGAACACAAGGCTTCTATACTATGAAGTTATATATTGATTGTGAGGTAATGAATGCATTTTTATATAGAAAAGAATTTGGTTTTACAATTCGAAATGAAAAAAAAAAAAAAAAAGCATTCTGTGTGTGTGTGTAATAAATAAGGTAAATGTCTTGTGATGGAAGGATTCTTAACCTTGAGAAAATATGAAGTAAAAGAATTACATTGAAGTGATGATATGGCTCATCTGGTTAGGTGTTTAGGTGGTCACAAGAGTGATTGTTTTGGGAAGTCTCAGAAAGAATGAATCATATTTTCAAAAACACACTGGGATGAGTGAATAGCGTCTCATGATAACTTTTGTAAATAGTGTTTGTGTGTATATTTCAATTTGTTATTTTTTCATTTTATATGATCGATATTGATTTTTAAGCATTATTTCCGAAAAAACCGGTTTGTTGGAATTATATCACTTTTTTTTTAATGATACTTAAATGTTCAAATGGAAGAAAAAGATATTTTTTGTTTTCTTAATGGTAAATTGATCCCATACATGCTTCTAATGTGTTTGTGAGGATTGCATAAAAAAAAAACAGGTTGCTAACAACAATATTATTAGTCTTTAATGCGTCATAATTAATATTGAGCTCGCTTGTTTCATGACTTCAATTGCACTTGTTATTTGTGGCTTTTTGTGGCTTTGGCTATGATTGTTATTCACGAATTCGACTGCGCTTGTTCATTCATGGCTTGTTTCATATTATTTCATGATGGATTTTCTCTAAATGAGCTGTTTAAATGTTGAGTTACTTTAAAAAGTGTTTTATATACTTAATTTCATTCATATTTTAATGAGTTTTACAGAAATTGAAAGCAATGGTAAATCACTTATTTGCATAATTTGTTATTTTAGTATGTGTATCTCAATGGGGCATTATTCACTAATAAATTATTTTGGTATCAAATAACACCGCTGGCCTGCATATTCTGTTTTGAGGGCCTTCATTACTAATCAAAACTTGTAGATCTATTTGACTAGTTGCTTATTCATGTAAATAGAAACTTACACTTATTTACTATTTTAATAGGCTAAAATATATATTTAGTCCTTTAATTTTACACAAGGTTTAATTTAGTCCCTTAACTTTAAAAAAACATACATTTGGTCCTTTAATCTTAAAATCATTAGGCTTTCATGATGATTTTTTGTAACAATCATGGATGTTTTGAAAATTAAACTAAATATGTTAGCATTTGAGAATATTTTATCAACATTTAAGATCTTAATGTCATTATTTTTTAAAAAAATTTCAGGGTTAAAAAGACTAAAAATATATTTTTTAAAATTAAGGGACTAAATTAAAACCTTGTATGAAGTTAAAAAACCAAATACTCTTTCGATCTTTAATATAAGACCCATTTAACTAATTTGATTAGATTAAGAAAGTTAGGTAAGTTAGTTAATTATAAGAAATATAACATGTTTTTCCTAAAACACCATAATCATCTTTATTAACACCACATCTCTCTTTTCTACCTAATTATGATTGTGGGAGTATTTATAAGGGTAATTTAGAGAAAATTGATAAATATGAGAAATGAGTCTTATATTTAGGATAAAAACCAACTCAACAATTAGGTCCTATAAGATCAGAGAAGTATATACTTTAGCCTTTTATAATATTAATTTATAGGCAGGATCCATGTCCTGTTTTATCGTTCTGAAATGTTTGCATGTTCTTACATGTCTTAGAATTAATATATGTGCGCTTGAGATTAGAATAATTATTACCTCAAGAAATTGTTTATTTGTTTTAACACTTAAGAAATGTGAATTCTCCCGTATTTCGTGTCGGTTATGTAATTTTTGGGCGTGAAACTTATTGCTTTTCGATTGAATTCTTCGAAATATGTCAATACTTATCGGTGAAACGCTTGTCTTCCTTCACTCCTTTCCCCACTAGCAGCACACCACACATGGCCTCTTCTCTACGAGAACTTCTCACACAAGAAGGCTTCCACTACGAAAATCGAAATCGATTCAAGTCCAAAGACCAGGCCGAAGCAAAACAACTCTCTCTCTACATTTGCCATGATCGGAAAAGCTTTGATTTTTCTGATGACAAGCTACAAAAATCTGTTACGCGAAATGGGTCTTTGTCATTTCAATCCAAAAGGGTTGGTTCGTCTGAAACCTCTAATTCAAACTCAAATTCAAGAGTATGTGAAGGACCTCCCATGGATGAAGTCGCGATTCGAGCAGTGATTGCTATACTTAGTGGGTACATAGGAAATTACAAAAACAACGTTTCTTTTCGCGAAACGATACGAGAAAAATGCAATTCTTGCTTGATGAACAAACGAAAGAACGATTTGGATAGTCAGATTTTGGTGAACTTGGAAATGGGTATGGAGAGCATTGATAGATTGGTACAAGATCAAGGGTTGAAGAAGAAACAAATGAGAATCAAAAGCATGCGAAATTCCATTGAGCTTTTAACCATCGTTGCTTCTTTGAATTCTAAAACGTCCAAAGAAGATTCAACTTGTGGAATACCCAATTCACATCTCTCTGCTTGTGCTCAGCTCTACTTGGCTATAGTGTACAAGCTTGAGAAAAATGATCGTATTTCCGCAAAGCACCTTCTACAAGTGTTTTGTGATTCCCCATTTTTGGCTAGAACCTTTTTACTTCCTGAGCTTTGGGAGCACTTATTTCTACCCCATCTTCTGCATCTCAAAATTTGGTTCACGAAAGAGCTTGAGTACCTCTCAAACGAAGCTCATGATCAAGAGAGACAAAAGAAATTGAAGGCTTTAAGCAAAGTATACAATGAGAAAATGGATAAAGGAACTACTCTATTTGCTTTGTACTATAAGCAGTGGTTGAAAGTTGGGGCTAATGAGCCTCCGATTCCGAGTGTACCATTGCCATCAAGGCCAAGGCACAACAGGCCATCAAGAAGAACTTCATCAGATTCTTTCACTTCACATAAATCATCAATGAACCAGAACTTGTAAGTGATATGTAAATCTTGTATTAATAGAAAGAGGCAAAGGGATTGAGTGTGTATATTTTAATTCTGTCAATCTGTTTTTATATGTGTTGGGTATCTATAATATGCAGGTACCAAGCAGTGTTTGGATCCAAACTGAAGCAAAAATCAACTAGTTCTGATGACCGAACTGGACTGTTGAGAATTACCTGGCATTCAGAGAGAGATGAATATTTGGATGGGGATGAATACTGTAGCAATAGTACTGTGCAGGTTATCTTTTCGTTGGCTTATCTTTTATAGTTTCGTATCTTCTGATTTTTAACATGGACGTTGCCAATTTTCTTGATTTTGACAGAAAGAAGACAGGAAGATGACTTCTTTTGGAAGCTCTCCAAGGAAAATCAATAGAAACCTTTCTGAATTGCCTGAGTCGTGGAGATCAGACTATTTCCAGTGTTTTTCTTGCAGGAATATACCGGCAGAAGGCTTGGTAGTTGGCAATAATACAGATAGCAATGTTTTCCCAGCAAAGCGAACAAATCTTTCAGGTGATCTTATTGAAGCTATTAGAACACTATGTTCATCAGGAGTTCTAAGCGAATGTGAATTTGGAATTCATGTGATCACCAAAGCTTGGTTGAACTCTGATGGTGATCCTCTCCTTGTAGAAGCCTTGTCAAATCATAATGTGATTGAGGCCATGCTTGAGGTGTTATTTGCCTCTAATGAAGATGAAATTCTAGAATTGCTAATATCAATTTTAGCAGAATTAGTAGGTAGGAATTCTGCTGTAAGCCAAATTATACTGAACTCAGATCCACAGCTTGAAGTCTTTGTCAGACTTCTTAGAAGCACAAGTCTATTTCTTAAAGCAGCAGTACTACTTTATCTGTCTAAACCACAGGCAAAGCAAATGTTGTCATCAGAATGGGTGCCATTAGTGCTTCGGGTTCTAGAATTTGGAGACAAGATACAGACACTTTTTGCAGTGCAATGTAGTCCTCATAAGGCAGCATTTTACTTGTTGGACCAACTCCTTACTGGTTTTGATGATGACAAGAACTTAGAGAATGCAAGGCAAGTTGTTTCTCTTGGGGGATTGACATTACTGAGCAAAAGAATTGAAGCAGGGGAAATTTACGAGAGAAATAAAGCTACTTTGATAATTTTGTGTTGCACTCGCGCAGAAGGAAGCTGTCGCAATTTCTTAGTTGAAAATTTCAATAAGGCTTCTCTACTAGAACTCCTTGTTCTTGATTATACTACAAACTTCAGTGGCTCTACCTTGTCTTTGCTAGCAGAGTTACTCTGTCTTGACAGGTACGTGTATCTTAGTAATGGCCTTCTCTAAAATATCATTTCTCTATCTTGTTATTATTATTATTATTATTATTTTTTTTTGCTCTGACTGTGATTTAAACTCAAGATAATTCCTTTGAGTCTAAGCTCATTGGTTTTGAGAAGTCTTTTTGTTATTTGGTTCTTCTTTTCCTTATCAGAAGGTGTTTTGATTCTGTTTGGATATTAACAGAAGAACTAGAATTTCCAATTTCTTAAGAGGACTCAAAGAAGGCTGGGGTGGCTTAAACACGATGCACATTTTGTTTATGTACCTAAGGAAGGCTCTGCCTGAAGAACGACAGTTAGTTGCAACAGTATTGTTGATGCTTGATCTTATGGTAAAATCCCCCCCCCCCAAAAAAAAAAAAAACTTTTAGGCCACTAAGTTACTCCATATGTTGGAGTTTCTTAAAGGGTTTCCAAATGTGAATGATAGTTATGTTTCAGGAAGATCCTTTCAAGGGCAGCTTTTATAGAGAAGAAGCAGTTGAGACGATTGTGGCTGGTTTAAATTGTGAGATGTGTGATGATAGAATTCAGGAGCAATCAGCTAGAGCTTTGCTCATGTTGGGAGGCAGATTTTCTTACACAGGAGAATCTATAATGGAGAAATGGCTTTTACAGAAAGCAGGCTTCCAAGAAAGTTGCTTCCATGATTCATGTCTTGGCAAGGAGATTGTTGTCTATGACTCAACACCTCTTGTAAGCTATCACTGAAAAACTTGAACGCTTAGTCTCTAATTTCTTGTGTCTCAAGCTTTCACAAGAGAATGTGTACTTATCATTTCGCACTTGGTCTTCTTGACCATGACATTTTGCATGTTAACTAGAAGTCTTTATATATGTTATATGAAATTTAAGACTTGTGAATAGTGCGACTTGTTTGGAACATTGGTATATAAGATGAATAAAAAGTCATGGGGTTTTACATGACAATTTTCTTAGTTTTATTATACTCTCTCAATCTTAAATGTGCAAACTAAATAACTAATTTGCTGAGATTAAGAAACTTAGTCAAGTGTTATCAGTAAAAAAGATTGTGACAATTTTCCTAAAGTATCTCTTTAATTATCTGCATTAGAAACTACACTTTTCATGGAAAATTTCTTATCTATGTGCAATCAATAGGCAGAATATTTAGGAAAAAAAATCTAATTTGGGAGACAGTGAATTGATGTTTTATATTAGGGATCAAAGCAAATATATTCATTAGCTGTTACATTTATGACTAGAAGGAGTGCAAAAATTATCAGTATCTTGAATATAATAGAGTCTCCCGATCCTAAAACACATTTAACCATTTGTATTTAATGGATTGATAGATACAAGAAGAGGAAGAAGAGGAGAATTGGCAAGAGAGGGTAGCCTATGCAATGTTGAAAAGTGGACACAAGAAATTACTATTAGGGCTTGCAGAATCCATGGCTCATGGAATTCCATACTTGAGTCGAGCAAGCCTCGTGACGGTCTCATGGATGAGCAACTACCTTCACCTTGTTGAGGACACAGAGTTGCCAACAGTGGCTTCCTCTATCTTGATGCCACAGTTATTGCAATCCTTGAATTATGACAGGGACAATGAGGAGAGGGTGCTTGCTTCTTTTTCTTTACTATGCCTCTTAAAGGCTTCAGGTATGCCTCTTTTGTCATCTTCATCTTTGTTCAAAACATTTTAATTCCTAGACTTGACTCATTTATGATTCAAATAAGTAAAAGAGTTTAGCATATTCAAACGGCTTAGTGATTTTAATGAAGGCTTTGTTACATGTACGATGTATAAGAGATTGGTTGAAATTTTAGACCGTTACGATAAATGTAAAATTTATAAGATATATTTTTCATTACTCAAAATAAATATGGTTTCTCGTGAAACCTAACATAGTTGTTAAAAATGCATGCAAATGTCTAAAATTTAATGATGATTTAATGTTGTTAGATGTTGGTTTCATGTGTTACATATAATTTGAAAAATAAGTCACTACTCATAAGTAATAATATAATAGGGCTAAATTATAAATCTACCTATGAAGTAATATCCTTCTTGTGTATATGACACCATAAAGTTTCCTAAGGTGCAACACAACACATGAAAGTTCTCAAATGGAACAAAAATAATATGTTCGTCACCACTCTGAAGTAGCAAATGTTATAGATATAACATGACATTTTGCTTCATTTGAGTATGTTCATGTGTAGCTAAAGAAATTTTACGGTATCTAATGTGAATTGGAAAAAAAAAAAAACTTCATAGGTAGATTTGCATATTAATCTCAAATGATATAATCAGTTAGAATCTTACATTTGATATTTTTTTAAAAAATGTTTGTATTATATATATGTATAAATAGATGAGAATAATGTGGCTTAACAAAAAGCCATCAAATGTGGTCCCCCCGGATATTTCATGGAGTTTGATGATATAAATAGTAAAACTCATAAGAGTTTTGTTAGTGTTAGGCATTGCATGAATCCTATTATTCATGAATTATTGTTTGAATTTATCATAAAGGAATATTTTGGGATGAATAATATTATATTGAATATTAATAATTAGGCATGAGCTTGAGATTTGATTGGTCCCTCACGTGGGGACATGATATGAACAGGAAGATGTGATGTTGCATGGCGAAATAAGGAGTCGCTGAGACAACTCCAAAACCTCTCATTGGTGACGTGGACAGCCGCTGAGCTCCTCTCCATTCTCTCCAAAACCAGCTTGCATCCACAACAACAATAACCAATAATTCATCTCTCTCTCTCTCTCTAAGTTATAGAAGGAGGATCTGTAATATGTATAATGAGATGATTTTGTATATATAACTGATTAACCCATGAAATTAAGGGATTGGTTCTTCCATAATAACACAATAATGCATATGTTTCATTAGCTGCCTCAAGTTCTTGCAGTTTTAAGAGCTCAGTTAATTAATGACTAGTTATTATTCTTTCAGTTAAAGGTTATAACATTTTCAACAGAACTCTAAATTTTGCAAATGATATATAGTTGAAAATCTCGTGAAGTGTAATTTTCAATTGAACAAGTTTTATATTAGAACACAATGTATAGTTTGAAATACAATTAAAAACAAAAGTGACCAAAGGTCAAAGTTGATTCAGCGCAGAATTCATATCTCAATACTTAGATTTCAAGTATTTATAATCTTGTTCATTTGATAAACTCCGCTTTGAGTAAATTTAAAAAGCTTATGCAGTCATTCTTTAAAGAAGATAAACGTTATTTCATATGTTACATAATCAAAGATCAGACTATAATAATTTTCAAAAAAAATTATATCTCATTTTTCTTTTCTAAAGCTAACATGCATGTTTTGAATTGAAATAACTTGAGGCAATCATACATATATAAATGAATGAGTTTTACGATTATAGCCTAAAGATTATTCCTATGAACTTTGAGTCCTTCATTCATCTAAACTTGTTTAAGTCTTTATCTTCATAAGCTCTTTTTCTATCATCTTCATTATTTCATCTTTATGTTCTTCATTTCCCGAATGATGCTTGAAATTGATCTCTCCATTTTTTTTCAAACATCCTTCAATAATATGACATTCATATAAACTAAGTGGTTGTTATGTCATATTATCAAAGGTTAACTTCTTCAACTTCTTTGATATATATGATCTAGTTTTCTCAGTCATATATATAGTTCAACCTTACAATGTCCACAAATGCAATAATGCTTTACAAAAGAAAAAAAAAATTAAAGCGAGATGTTCTAATTGCGAGCTAATTAAAAATTAAAAGGAATATATAGCGATTTAGTGTGCCAAAAAAGGTTGAAAAATAATGATGGAAAGAGAAAAGAGTTTTTAATTTTTTTGGTCAAAAAAAGAGTTTTTAATTTGCATATGGATATGAATTTAGCCAACTGTGAGATTCCTGCGCAAGTGGTCTTCTTACAATAGATTGCGACATTGCCAGATAGTCCCATCTTCTTCCCCCTTCAAATATCTTCGAAAATTTAAATAATTGCAAACATATGAACTGTGCAATATTTAGTTTATATATAAGTGTGTATGTATATGTACCTGAATAATAATTAATGGGAATCTGATTGGTTACTATTTTACTATTAAATGATTAGCCTGGCACAGCTTACTACTTTGTCCTTTGTTATAATATCCTTTTAACTAAATTGTGTAGTTTAAGAAAACAGTTAAAATTAGTTAAAAACAATTAATATGTGACAAATACAATTTTTTTAAATATACCACTATATATAAATGGGTAAATGTGAGAGAATAAGAGTGGATAAATGAAGAAAAATAATATATTAAATGCATTAAACTAGGGGTAAAATAGGTAATAATGTAATAAATGTTTAGACAAATTCAAAAAGAATCTTGTAAAAAAGAACAAACCTATTCAAAAAAGTGAATTTATAATAAAGGACAGATGGAGTAATTCATTAACAAATAAAAATACTTATTTTTAATTTAATTTAGCCAAAATAATCATTTCAAATTACTTGTGGCAACTTTTGAAAAAAAAAAAAAGGCTTTTTACTAGTAACAACTTTATATATAATCACAAATTTTATACTGCTATACATAACCTAATTATTGACTCTTTAAGTTCGATTATTGTATCATAAAAAATGTTGAAACAAAAAACGAAGGCATACAGCAAGAGGCTGGTAATTAATTATCAAAAGCTTCAAGAAACAACATTTAAAGGTGGCCGGCAAAAGCAAAGAAAAAACTATTAATTTGGACAACAAACAAAAATTCTCTCATTTTTGGATTTGGAGAGTTGAAGTATCCAATATCCAACTGAATCTCGACATTTGTACTGTGGTAAAATTCTTTGCTGATTACAAATTTTGAGACGGTTACACAAATCCAAAAATGGTCAAAATAGTTAAAGGGTTAAAATCTATAAGAATAATACAATATCATTTCATGAAAAATTATCACCCTAGTTAGTTGTGCTTCCTAATATTAATAAAATAACCTAGCTAAAACCCTATTATATATTAATCTCAAAATACACTCCGTCAATTCTTTTAAAGATGACAACTTATTAACTTTAAGGCCAATTTAATGTGATTAACTTACTTTCTTTAATTTTAATAGGGTATTTAAAAGGATGGGGAAAAAAAAATAGGGTCGTTGAAAGTGAGATGGAAGTTTTAATAAATAGCACTACATATCATATGGTTCTCACAAAAAAACATATATAAATTATCGTAGCAAATACTGTTTAGAAGTCATGAACAGAAATAGCTCTTCAGCTATATTTATTAGAATAAAACTTTTTAAGAAATATTACTTTCAGTTTTTAATATAAGATCTCATTTTAAACTATAAACTAAATTTTATATTAGTATATGATATTTAGTGTGATCAATACAAATTTAAACATGCCAAGGGTCCATAAAAGGAAGTTCCTTAAACTTTTGTTTTTGGACAAATTCTCAGCTGGATATCTTACTAAAAAATGTATTAAGTTTTTTTTTTGGTTTCACTAACTCCAATCAATTTACACTTTGAATATTATCAAAGAATGCGTCCAAAATAAAAGGACCCACCTTGCATTGTACTTGGTTGAAATAAAATCAGGATAGGATTGCCCTCCAAGTTCTTCTGTGAATACAGCTGCACCCGAGTATTAATTGCGTCAATCATTAATTTTTGTGTTATGCAAATGTCATATGGTGCCCTCAAAACAAGGACAAACATCACATGACTAGGAGGACTTCCATTCACATTTCCTCTGATATGCTTCTTTCAAAGGTAATAACCCTAATTGTCTTTTTCCTGTAATCTTTGTCATCACATGATCATTCCCTCTCTTTCTCAGCTTTATCTTAATGAGGTCATCTTCTTATGCCCAAAACACTTCTGGCCAATCTGATCATCTGTCAAATATCAATAGACACTACATCATTTATATCTCATCTCCTTTTATCTTCCTAAAATCTATATCTATGTGAGAGGAAAACACAAACAAATTAAATACCCTCAAATACGCAAATCTCAATGTCAAAACCTTGAAATGACAGAATTTCTAGAGTGTTTAGGTAAAAACCAAACCATAATTTTAAAAGTATTTTTACAGTATACTGGAGGAAATTGTCTCGTTTTACAAAAAATACTTTTTAAAAACATTTATTGGTGTTGCCAAACACGTAACCTTGAAATGATATAATTTCTATGAAGTGACTACTAGATAAACCCATTTTTTACACCGCCTTATCTACATTATTTATTGCCTAATAAATGAGGCGGTGGTATTTTTGTAAATAACGGCACAATATTTATATTGGTTGTGCTCATGTCTGGTGTAATATTTTATTATTTATAATGGATGTCCAGGAAACAAATGTACACATAATTTATATACATCGGTTATGGTAAATAACCGGTGTTAATAATATGAATATAAGGAAACTAAAAGATGAGCCTCTCTCTTTCGTTTTCGCTCCCCTAAAGTAACGTGTCAGAACATCAAAGGTCATCATGTCCTATTATTGTCTACTTAAGCTTGGACATGAAAAACGGAAAAAATGAAATGACAACAAGGTTTAACAAGTAAAAGTTTTCACTTATCAACTAACAAGCTAAGACAATGATGGTTAATTTCACAAGTTTTTTTTTGGCTGAATATTAATAGTAACAACATTTTAAAATGTAACAATTTTAACTTGTCAAATAACAACAATAGTTAAGGCAATAACAACTTATTTTATTGAAGGCAATTCGGTTATTTTACAAAAACTTTATTCCCAAATATCTCTAAAGACTTCATGGGAATTAAGCTATTTGAAGGGACCATTTTGAAATTCCCATTGCTTTTTATGTCTTTATCACAATCTATATCTATGTATATAAACCCAGAGGGGGAAAAAGATCAATTGTGTCTTGTTTAATTATCAGCTTTTAATATAGTAATTGTATCCGTAATACTTTTGTAGCAGTTTTGGCTTTTTTCATACTACCTAATTTATATCTTTTGATCCCTCGTATGTAACATATATAATATATTTTACAGAATGTGGTGCAAGCGTCATTCTTACAAAAAATACACTATTTATGGAAGAAATCTCTCTCTGCGTTTGAATTGTGTTGCGGCTTCAGACTGTGTTTCTTCCATTGTCGTTTCTGTAAATGCATGCAGCAAACATATTTATCTCTAAGATAACACCAAAAACAGAAGTAGCAACAAAGCTATGTAAAGACAATAATCTATCCAAGATGAACCTTATTGCGTGCAATATATATAATCACCAATTATTGTTTGTGTATGTCTGGTCCCGGCCCCCTTGATATATATATATATATATATATATATAATGTGGGAAGTGATACTACATTCTAGAGGGATACTACCCTATCTCTGAACGGACAGACAATAAGAAAGAAGAAAATGGCGACGAGGGACCACTTTGACAAGAGTTTCCGATGTTATAGGGTAAATTAGAAAAAGATGTTCGTTCATATTCATGGGATGGGAAGAGGAAATTTTATGTGCGAGATGAATTGGAGAATCTATTAGAATGGGAATAATCCAAATGGTAGATACAAGTTTGAATGGAAATAAGCTTATTTTTCAAATGGATTAGTACTTTTCCTTTCTGAAAGAGAAAAACCAAGTGGAGTTTAACTGAAAATAACACACATCAATACAGACCACAAAAACTGATGCATGCTTCTGCCTTTTAAGTAAGGTTTGAGTTTAACTCTATGAATCAAGAAAAATAACATTGAGATCCCTTGAAGTGAGATACACACAGAGGGAGTATATATAAAAGACGAAATTTATCTACAAAGTGTTGGTACTTTTTTTTCATTTCAGAAAATTTCAGGAAATCTCATGATTCAAAATTCTTTGATTTCCAAAACTTTCTCCCCTGTGATGCATGGAAGCTT